GAGGATAGCGATTTGTAGAGACGTAAGATACGATGCTCTTTGGAGGCTGACACCCAGGTCTTCGGATATGTTCTCATAGGCTGGAATGATTGCAGCAGCGGGAAACGCGCACATCATGGCGTGGAAGGCGACAAAGAGGAGGTTCATCACTTTCTATTCCCATTGTCAGTAGACCTCAAACTGATAAATGCGTGATGACCTACCTTCCACTGAGGCCAGTTGTATGGATCGGCCGTGCCCATGGTGGGTATGGGGTCAAGCTCAAGCGTGCCATGTCTTTCCAACAGATACTGTCGATGCTCCTCGGAAAGGTGAGATACTTCGTCATTGTCGAGATACGTGCCATGAGTGTTTGCATGCTCTAGATCCTCACTAGTCATCGGCTTATCTGAGATGGCCTCTTTGTCGTTCTCCATGACTGTGACGTGGTCTTAGTGGTACAGCCCTAGGCGTGAGTTGCGGAATGAGTAGCAAGAAAGAGAAAGACCAGCAATCTCGAGTGCGCACGCCTCGGGGTGGCAACCCCATACTGTGTACCCGTCCTTCCCCATACTAATACCTGCGGAAGAAGACTTTCGCGGAGACCCCCAGTGGAGACCCCAGATGGTAGGATTATTGGCTGGACCCCAGCCCATTTAGTTTCAGGCAGGGGTTGCGAACCGTCGTCGTCACGGTGTCGTCGTCGCTAAGTTTCGTCATCCTATCATTTAGCGAACGGATACAGACTTCGGCAGCAGCACACCGAGGTTTAACGTCTTCGTCAAATACCGACGAGGGGGCATCGCCGCGCTACAGTGAACCTTTGGTATGCGCTAGGTATGCGTTGAGCACGACGGAAAAAGTCATCGGCATGTGATGAGGAACAAGTGCCCGGAACTTTCAGGCTCGCAATATCCAGGACACAGAATGTATTCACGCGTGTCGTGCGCGTCGAAAGTCGAGACTCGAAGCAACGCCATCCGTGCTCAAGCTTTCGGGGAAAGCTTGGCCGGTGCCGGCGCCGTCTTCCCTCTTTCGGATCCACCCGGTCAACGCCGCCCAACGCGCAACGCGTCAGACTCAGCAGCCACCAGCAGTGTCGACCTAGAGCTACCCAACGCAACTGTTCATATGGGATATGAATCCAAGCCAAATTTCATATATCGACTCTCTCCTACGATACGCGTTCGCGGTCCTAAACCAACGCCACAGGAAGCCACCCCACTCATCCTGCGCCGATACGATCAAGACACTAACGGTAGGGTATCCGAAACGGATGCGCTTCAGTATTAAAGACAAAATCGTCCAAGCTGACTTCATCGTGGTCGCTAAAGATGAGATAGAAATATTTGAGGGTTTCGGCCAACCAAAAGCTCTGCGGAGGTGAAGAGATAAAGTCAGCGTTTGTTTCGGAAGCATCGCATTTCTAGGACTTACCTCCATGCTGTCACTCTTTGGTGGCGGGGTCGACATAATGTCTTGGAGCGCGGCGTTGCCAAATTCAGTCTTTGTATTCGCCTCGATGGCCTGGAACATCTCCCACGCGATCTCTTGATACTTGGTCTCACCCGTGAGCCGGAACATGTAGAAGATCGACTCGATTGCTTCTGGCCGGAGAATATAACGGCCATCGTGGACTGCGCTGAACGGCTTTGCGCCTGGTGTGTAATCGCACTCTGACCACGACGGACACGGGGTCATCGAAAAGACTTCAGGCATAATGCCGTTCGGTGCATTCTTGTACGTCCACGCGCAACCGTCAGAGATCTTCCGTCCGACGTCGAGATGGGTCTGGTTGTCGAAGAGCCGCCCACCAAGCGCCAGCATACCTCCAGCGTAGCACACCAGGTGCTGCCCAGTGTTGTCTCTTTGTCCATCAGGGCCATCATGTTTCGCGGTTGCGATCAAGATGTCTGCTTTGTCTTCCACCATGGGTCGAAACATGGTGTGCGTTATCGCCGTATCCATCGCGTATTCGTACATCTTGCGATACTGACCAGCCGGCTCATTCCCGTTGAGCAACTGATACATCTTCGGTAGATACTCAAATGCCGAGTCGGCCATAGCACCCAGCCCAAAGAAAGCGTCGAAAGTCAGGTTCGGCGTTCTCATGTCTACACTGATCGGCCACATTCCAGGGAGCTTCGTGGATCCTTGCTGTGCATCAAGTACATCCGTAACCCTGGAGATGGCGTCGAAATATCGCATATCGCCTGTAATTTGGGAGAGACGAGTGAACTCCACACTAGCGGAAGCGGCTTCAGCTATGAGTACTGAGAGAGCTGGCAGCTGCTCTTCGCCGTCCGCCGCCTTCCCGGGTTTCCATCTCGACACAGGCATCCGGTTAGGCGTGTCGAAGGTCGCATAAGCCATGTCTGCTACTTCGAGAGCCTTGTTCAGAAGACGGGTGTCGTGGCAGCCAGAAACGTCATAAGCGCCTATGAAGCCTCCCAGATAGCGTATAATGATCTCGAACATGTTGATCTCACTCTCGCGATCATCGCTTGGTTTGAAGTCGATCTTCAGAGCTGCTTCGACGGCTTCGGCGAACTCGTCTTCCATCCCCATGATTGACAAAGTGTCTAGTGAGTCGACTAGCGTAGCTCCCCAGCCACCAAATTGGGTATCTCGAGGCTGGCCCGTCATGGGTGCCAGTTCATCTTTCATCCATGCGCGTTCTTTGTAAGACTTCCAGCATCGTTGAAAGGTCTCCTTGACAGCCGCTCGTCTACCAGCAATCGCTTCGGCACCTGGCGACTTTGGACGCGGAGATCTTTGCAAAGTGCTCCTGGACAAAGGCTTTTGTGAGGATAGCTGCGCATACTCATCAACTGGGTGTCGGATCGAGATTGCTCTCCAGTTGAAGCGATCTCCAGTATCTGGAGTTATTGCTGGCATGGGCGGTCTTGTTGGACACGCATGCGAGCTCGGAGCATGTTCATGGTGGCCTGATGGGAAGATAGAAGTCCTCGATGGGGTGAAAGGAGCCGAAAAAGAGACTATCGTTGCAAACAACAAGACGCCAACGAGAAGGATCAGACTCCATCTCCATTTCCTGGGAAACATAATGGACTCTCCAGAAGTCTGGTCGTGAATAGCTGAGATGGAAGCAAAGAGGAGTTAAGCAAACACAATCGACGTACGCGCTGCCCTCTATGACATGCTGTCCTATTATAGCAACTGAGCTGTTTCGGATTAATGCGTGTAAGACAATGCCCTCCTATGCCGTAACTTATTTTGGGGGCAGTATCAGCACGTCCCCATCACGAACGTATCAAAGAACAAAGCGCTTTCAATACATTAAGTGCGTCACTCCGTGACTATTCTTCGAATATATTTGATTGACCATGCCGAGAGCCGCAGCAGAACCTTTAGGTATTCTTGAAATCTAGAGAAGCGCAATGGGCTACGCGCTGGACGTAGCCATCGGGTCCCGACCTCTGCAAGATTGCGGCGTAGTAGTTCCCTGGTCTCAACCCATGCGCTTATTGGTCAGTTCTTTTATCATGCCCTCCCAGCCGTATATGTGCATCACCTCGCGTGCTGGCACCATTAATACAATTGGCTAGCCTCGACCTCTTCTTCTTGTTAGTCGGAGCCAACATGTACAGGCGATCACCGTAGCGCTGGGAAGAAGCGCCTTTGCACGGCCTAGAATTATTAGCAATTTGCAAGCTCAAAGTTTCAACAACTAAGGCTCTTCGTTCAGGCCTGTCTTCTCTGTCAGTTTCCTGGCCCTCAGAACATGGTGTCGTACCATACACCATAATCTCGCTTTCCCAGTCCGGCCCTACCTAAGTCTATTACGAGTGACAGAGAACTCGAGAAATCAAGGCCCAAGAACAGCGCATCTCGACAGCTTAGCTGTCAGGTGCACGAGATACAATGAATCGCAGGACATCCAGCGTTTACGGATCGTGCTGGCCATGATCTGTGAATCTCAAAGCAACGCAAGCTGACAGCGCAAGCTCTGGCGCTGTTCCAGTGCTCTAAATCATGCTCGGCGGTGCAGTATTGGGATTCAGCATACGCACCAAACTCCAGTGTCTTCAAATCTGGCAACGCTTCATTGCACAGGCGCAGCCATTGAACCGATTGTACACGCCTCTTAGTTGCGGCTTCCGCCCTTCCCAGCTCAGCAAGACTAGGGATCGAAATCATTCCAGATTTTGGAGAGACCGCATGCAGATGATGGGAAATATTACAAGCAATGCAAACCCAGACGCTACTTACAGCTGGTGCTGTCATCGCTGTATGTTGCCTTTATGGTACGCATCGAGGCTTGCTAATCTTTCCAGGTGACAAAATATGGTCATTCGCTCGCGCCGGAAACAAATGCCCAAACTGTGGGCATCGGAAATGTTGGAGAAGGTGCGCCGTCATGGGCCTCGCGAGGACAAATGAACTTTGGATGGACAGAACTGGATCGAAGAGGCTGAGCAAACGGACGAGGCCGCTCGTCGTGGAGAACTTTTGACAAATTTTGCCTTCTTTGGCATGATGTGAGGGGTGGCACTTACAGTGGGCATGAAGGTGGCTGGGTGCTGCGCTTGTGCCTTCCACATCAGTGATGGCGTCATCGGCGCCGCTAGCTACGGAGGCACTCCCGAGGTCCTCTGCATCTGGCATCCACGACCTGCACGTGCACCTAGGAGCATCGGATTCATCGCAAGCCTTCCAGCATGTCACTATTTCTCATATCGGGCATGGTTTTCGGCGTGCTCGTCTCATTCGGGTACCGCCTGACGCCATTGCTGTTTAGCCCAAGAAGAGTCACTCTGGCATTTTCCCCAGCCTCACTTCGCATGGGGGAGGTCGTGCTAGCGATCCTGTCAATGATAGCAAAATCAATCTTTTACGCAATTCCCGGGTTTCCGCGCATCAAGCTTTCAGCATTAGAGCTTGACTCCCCATTCACTCTAGATGCAGACGACGTTGTTCGGTATCAATCAGCAGTTGGAGGAACAAGCAACACAGGAGAAGAGCTCTCCGCACCGCACCTTATGCTGTTTCTTTCAGCCATGACCGAGCCCGCAATGCTACTTCTACTCGCCAGTCCCTGGTGTCCCATCAATCCACTCGGCGCAGTCAACGTGCGCAATAGGTTCGAGATATTACGCCCCGACCTATGCGACCTGTCGAGACTCGTGGATCTACGAACAGCCCGTCTGAAGGCGATTGCGAGTAACCACCCACGACAAGCAAAACGAGGCATCGAGTGGGATCTGGAGGTCGTGATCACCACTCCCACTGGTAGGAAGGATGGAACTATGGATATCATCTTTCGCCAGATCTTCACCATGCTAGAACTAAGAAAGTCACAATCCAAGAAAATCCGGAACAGTTCACATGAGACCAGGTCTAGCATGGCGATACCACAGATATCTGAGAGCACCACCCAGGTATCGATGTCAGTCGACGACCCGCTGAAATGGGCTGCGATTTGCAAGGACTACAACTTTATCCACCTATCGGGAGCGGCGGCGAAGGCCTTTGGTCTACCTGGAAAGATTGTGCATGGAAATCACACAATCGCTAAAGCTCTACATCTAATGACGGACTCGAAAAGCTTGCAGCCACCGTTCACCACTTCCTCATGGATGGAGGTGCAGTTCAGAAGGCCTATGGTTGTACCCGGTGTCTTCGATGTCAGTTTACGCGAATCTGGCAAACCTAGCAAGACGCTCTCAGTCTCTTTTCAGGGAAAAGACTGCGCGATTGCGGAGTTCGGGAGCCTTCAGCAATGAACACACCGAGATAGTACTCGGCTACCGTCTGGGACCTCCCTTGAAAAGATGTGTCAACTAGGGGTGGCTACAATTTGTGTCACATTCTCCTAGGATATCATTTGGCTCTCCGAGAAGTATACCTTATCTTGGGGACTACTAACTTATTAAGATTGAGATGTATGTAAGCGGCAAAGTGCTTCATGACTTCTATTCACCCCTGGTGGGGAAAATCTTGCATGAGAAAAGCATCTATAAGTCGACATGATGTTGCATTTTTGGTCGACTTCAAATAGCTTCAACAACCCGTTGTTCCACTGTCTCCATCAGTGCAGTCAGAGCACGCCGATCCTCCTCCTGGAGGTCTGTCTCTTGCCTACGCTGAGCTTCTTCTTCAAGTTCAGGCTCGTAGACGTCCCACCCGATTGGCTCGAATCCCGGTGGTTTGCGACAGTCAAGGGAGTAGTAAGCATTCATGGGGTGATCGGGCCGCATGTTGTAGCGGCTATCGAAGGGATAATCCTGCGAATAGCCCGACTTGAAGTACCGAAGACGTTGGAGGCCAACTCGGAAGCGTTCGAATAGATGATGCCAACGAATATCCGGCTCCATCTCCCATTCAGGTCCATAAGAAAGACCGAAGCTGTCAAACTCATCGTCACCCTCATCATCACTCCCTTCGTCATCCTCATCATCAGTCTCGTCGTCACCCGTTTGTGGAAGCAGCTGAGGGAAGTTCGCTTTCATTCCCCTGTCGAGCAAAGCCAGATAACGAACAACACCGCAACCGCAAAGAAGTAGAGTTTCCAGTGTAGCTCCATGCGCGACGATCCAGTCGACCTGCCAGTCATGCGCGATGGTCCAATTGCCAAAACACAACGACTTGAGGTGTGGAAACGGTTCGACCTCTCGGAAGTCCGTGAAAGGCCAGACGCCCCAGAGGCAGTCGCAATCGAGCGTAAGACTAGAGAATGATTCGCAAAATCAGAACATGACTCACATATAGCTCCAGACTTGTACAGAGAGACTTACCGTGTGAGTTGGTTGGTGGTGGGCTTCAACCAGTACTTCGGGAGAAATCGCCTTAGACCATTGTGCTGCGCATCTGCATAGGTGCTCGGTCCACCCTCCGGTTCCACGTGGTACCTCAGAATTCTCAGTCGCAATTCTGTCAAGCGCTCTCTGACGGCCAGGAAGCTTTTTGATTCCATGACATCCTGAGGCATTGCGTCCTGCAAGTTCTGGATCGTAAGACTCTCGAAGCTCTCGCTTTGCGCCAAAGCCTGGAAGCAAAGGTCCTGGATCTTCGTCCGGAAACTCTCATCCTCTCTAATCTGCAGCATAGTATCTCTGTATCTGGTATGAGTGTAGTCCTCCACGGTGCAAATACTCGAGAACTTTAGCTCTATCCGCTTCAAACTCTCCAACTGTGGAAGTTGTGTGATGGCGTCGGCAAAGGTACAGAGAATGTCTGGTCCATCCGCTAGATATTTCCCGTTGTCGTCATCGTCGTCATCCTCCTCCTCATCCTCGTCCTCCTCATTCTGCTCCCTGTCGGGGTGCTCGGAAGTATTGATGATGGCATGACGTACATGCTTTCGTAAAGAGGAATGAATGATATTCAAGAATCTTTCAGGGCTGTTTCCGACGTTCGTGAAGGATACTGTACGGAAGAGACTCTCGGAGGCCAATTCGTGGAATCTTTTGTTTACCAGGCGAAGGGCCTTAAGTGTCGCCAAATCATCGGAAAGGAAATCGATGTAACCCCGTTGGAGTTCGACAGGTAGTTGGATCATTGCGCTTGCCTACCTGGGTGAGCAGCAAGTGTTTTGGCTATGACCATGGTGGACGCGAGTGGCCCTTTTGTACCTAGGTAATTACCTAGGCGCAGCACAACACGTCATTTCGCCTTGCATGAAGCTGCAGCATTCGATAAGAGGTACATATCGCTACAGCCCAATTTAGGTATAATGTAAGTCATCTGTCAGGCGTGCAAGTCTAAGGATCTTGGTTGCCTAATCATACGGTTGGGACCACGCTAGAGCCTTATAGGTATACCTGCAGGCCACATCGCCTTTTCTTCTCGAACTATGGGAGACACCACGTTCTCTTCACGACACTACTACCGCCATCGGCTTCTCGTAATGAACACTTTCCAGACTTTACCGATCACAATCCGTGAGCAGATTTATCACGAGCTCTTGACCTACACTCCAGCTGGATACAACGATCCGTATCTTTCAGATGCCGAGACGGGACGTGTAGTAGCTCCAAGACCCGGAACCCGCTGCTTAGATGTACCTCCTCAGACGTCTGCACCCTCATCGCCATTATGTAAGCTGCTTACATTGAGCCGGCAAATCAACGCAGAGATCTTCCAGTTTTTGAGACTTCAATTGTGCGTGGTTGTCAAAAGTAATCACCCAAAGTTTCTTCGGAGCATCTTCGACAAAACAATACCCGTGCTACCCGGGTGTCCAACCTACAACTCCCGCGGCCGCCGGGTGGATTGCCCGCGCGTACCACTTATCTCACAACTGCAATCCTGCGATGAGATTGTCAAGAAGGACTTTTCAGGTTTTCCTGTGGCAATGGAACTCGAATTTCACACGACCCGCAACCTCTACCCCATTCCTATGGAGAATACATCATGTTTCTTGCTGCCAGCCTCGAGCCTGCCGATCTTGATCCGTATTGGCAAAGGTCATCAAAATCGGTGAGTAATTGCAGTTCTCATTATACCATGAAGGCGGATCTTAACCTGCGTCAGGTTCGGAAGCACTTCCCTATATGTGTCGCTTTTTGAGACATTCTCACACACGCTTGAACGAGCCCAAGAGATCCTCATTGAACCTCTGCTGCTTCCCATTTCGAAGGCCCGCCTTAGATTTCACATTGTGAGCACCAATGACATGATCACTTCTCCTTGGGCCATGAAGTTAAGAGAGCACTTGATGAAAGAGTGGCCTGCTGTTTACTATCTTGACCATCTGGATAATATGAAGCATGCTCGTATGGCCTATGTATATCTTTTCGACTACATACGCAACGATACATCGAGGGACGGGGTTCTTGAATTATGGCTCCGGACTTGCGAAATCGCTGCTGGGGAAATACAAGCCCTCTGCCATCGCGCAGGTATATTGGAGTCGAAAGAGGAAGACCCAACTGGTTCATCCGACAGTGTGGCATTGCTCCAGAAAGCGCGCAAGGAGGCTGAAGACGCGATCAGTTTCTTATCTGATCAGCCCATGCGTGCGCAAGAAGCGTCGCTAGCTTCAAAAAAATGGCAGCTTGAAGTTGGCAAGCTCAAATCTCTGTTGAGCTTCAGGGCACATGTTGTTTGCAAAGCACTTGGGGATATGGACGCCGCCATTGGATACCTCGAGGAAGCCATCAAGCATGACCCTAACTGTGCGGAGGACCCAGAGGACCGACCCCCAAAGCCAGTCTTTGGTGTTGGTCACTTGGAAAATCCTTGGCGCGTCTCCAGCCGAATGCCACTCGGTAACGTATACCTCGTAAAGAACCCAGTAGAGATGCTGGACAAACTGAAAGCCGAGCGTGGAACAAGCAGCGAAGAGGACGCCTCCGGAGTGGTACGATGGGAGGTCCGTATGTAAAGACGTTTCAGAATCACATCATCGCGGGCTGAGTGCAAATTAAAGAAATGAACTGTTATCCTGAATGGTCACAGTGGAGTTCGCAAGTGACGCTAGCACCCCGCAAGCAGCTTCAAGATGCCGAGGTCCATGCCATCTCTCCACCACAGCTCTGCCGACATGGCTGAATCGACCTTGACGCGTCCGCGCATCTCTGTGCATATACACATACCTCCCTGAAGCCTGCCTAAAGTCGATCGACCTCACCTCTGCACCCATTTCCACCTCAGCCACCCCACAACCCTCCATCCACACCACCACCCACCATGACACACGCCGCCTCCAAAGACGACCTGCGCGTCAGCACGCTCTTCGACTACACCTCGCACGTCGTCCTCGTAACAGGCGGCGCCACCGGCCTGGGCGAAATGGCCGCGCAAGCCTTCATCCAAAACGGCGCGCGCGTCTTCATCGCATCCCGCAAAGAATCCGAACTCGCCTCCACAACCGCGCGCCTCAACGCCCTCGGCCCCGGAAAATGCTCCTACATCGTCGCGGACCTAAAAGACAAAGCTGGCTGCCTCGCTCTGTGCACGGAGCTGAAGAAGCAAACGGACCGCCTGACGGTGCTGGTGAACAACACGGGCGCGAGCTGGGGCGACGATTACTACAACTATCCGGAACATGCGTGGGATAAGCTGTATGCGTTGAATGTGAAGAGTATATTCTATATGACGGTGGAGTGTGAGGGGTTGTTGGCTAAGGGGGCGGATGCGCATAATCCAAGCAGGGTTATTAATATTGCTAGTATGGCGGGTATTACGACTGTGGATGTTACGACGGGGGAGGGTGGGGGGTTGAGTAATCCGGGGACTGGGACTTATAGCTGTACGTTCGCTATCGTTCTTACTTTTGGCGAATCACTCTTACTGACGAACTCTATAGATGGCCCTGCAAAGGCAGCATGCATCCACCTCACCAAGATGCAAGCCTCGAAGCTTGCCTCAAAGAATATCATGGTCAACGTCATTTGCCCAGGCGTTTTCCCCTCGCGCATGACGAACTTCGGGTTGGAGAAATTCGCAGATGCTTTGACGGCGGGACAGCCGACTGGCCGTATTGGCAAGCCGAGTGACTTTGGTGGACTGGTCTTGTTCTTGAGCAGTAAAGCGAGTGCGCATATCACGGGTAATGCCGTTGAGATGGATGGCGGTGCTACGTTGACGGGGTGGAGAGGGAAGGTGGGTGGTAGTAGCGAGAGCAAGTTGTGAAACAAATGTGACGGGTATCATGTGATTAATTGACGACTTTGCTACGTATCGGCTAGAGGTATTCATGTCCAATATCCTTCCTTCATCTGCCCTACCAACGACCACCACATCTCCTACGAGAGCTGAGTAGCCAACTGCGTAACCTGAT